GAAGCTACGAGTAGCTCCTGGCCTTACTACTAGTAACTAGAAGCTACTAGTAACCAAGGTAGATTCTATTTGGAGTCAAGGGTGCTGGCAGATGTAGCTTGCTTTGCTTCGGATCATTCGAAGACTGGTGTGTTTTGTGGCAGGACTGACGGGCCTCTTTTGAAACGGTCGCTCAGCCGCCTGGGAAGCAAAGAGCTCGGAAGCAAAGAGAACAGCAGGAGCACCAAACTCAAACACTCAAGGCTTCCAGACATGTGCAAGCTACTTGTATTGTTTTTTTCTGTGCACCTTTAGCCTTTAGACCTTCCTTTCTTTCTTTCTACCTTGAGAATTTCTTTTTCTCTCTCTCTCTCTCCATATTTTGTAGCTATTTTTGTTCTGAGTTGGCTTGCAGGAGACCGTCAGACGCCAGCAAGGACAAGGACTTGCATGACTCTTGTGTGTGTGTGTAGCATTGCTCGGGGAAAAATGGCAGGAGAACGTTCCTGAACGCTAGCCGTTGTGGGGGCATGACTGTGCTGTCAAAAGAATCTTCGCCACCGAAGACAATTGTTTAGAGAGGCCCAGTGTTTCACCCGACGAAGAAAGCGCATTAGACCGCTGTACCATAGTGTACACTGCGGAAGAAAAGAGCGTTCAGAAGTCACCAGGAGCACGATTTGCATCTTTCTACTCTTTCTTTGGTGGGTGTGTTGGCCGTTCGTCGAGGTCGACTCAGTTCTTATCTCGGGTTGCAACTCGCTCGAATTTGAAAATATGCTATTGAGAAATTTAATTCTAGTTACTACTAGCGAACCTTGTTACTACTAGTAAGGCACTTGTTCCTAGTAGCGTGGCACTTGATTTGAAAAGTTACTCTCAAAATCTGTGCAGAGTTCTTACTTTAATGAGCCTTACCTTGACTTGGCCTCGCTTCCCTTCGCATTGACATGTCCCTCAGAACTCTTTTCTGTTTCCTTTTAAACTGTGTTTTCTATGCATGTTTCTTTCTTCCCTCTTCCACAGTAGTTCTGCTTCTTCTGCTTCCACTTCTTCGTTCTTGCTAGGAGTTACTAGCTGTTCCCAACTGTCACTAGCTATTGCCCTGCAACGTTACCTGGTTCGTGCACTTGGCGGGGCAGAAGTTTCTAAGAGTTCGACACCTACAGGATGCGAGGCAAAATGTAGTGCGGTGTGGTCATTCGCGATGTATTGATGTGAGGCTTTGTGAGTAGTGATGCAGTCAAGTCTAGTGTGCTAAAGGATAGTGTGATGATGCTTGCAGTAAGGTGTTTTCCATGGTAAAGTGACTACGGCGGCTCACTGCCAAACCACATGCCCCACTGGGTGAAGTGCCGTGCTTGTATTAGAAGTGCTGGGAGTCACCTCCAGCTGGTATTGAGTAGCTTCTTGTTACTACTAGCGATGGCCTCTCCAACCTAATAGCTTCTTGCTACTAGTAGTAATGTCCTTGTTACTAGTAGCTTCTTGCTACTAGTACAATGATCAACCTTGGAAGTTGCAAGCTTTCACCTCCAAGCAGCTCAAAACTACTGTTTCGACACCGCTATCAAGCTGCTGTTGAGCTTTGGAATGTTATAATGTTGTCTCATGCTTGTGTCAGGGATGGCATTCCAGGGTGCACAGTGATTGGGAAGCACAGCGCTGGAATTGATTTGAATTGATGTTCTCAATTGACCCAAGTTCCCCTGCATTCAGCAATGCGAAAAGAAGGCTTCGTGCTGAGCTGCAGCAGTTGCGCGACTGACAGACGTGAGCTTTTGACAGACGTCTTGCGATGGACACCTCTGTGAGGCGCCTGGCTCAAAGGCCAGATGAGCCCTAAGAAACAAGAAGCTACTAGGAACAAGTGCCACGCTACTAGTAACAAGTGCCTTACTAGTAGTAACAAGGTTCGCAGCAAAGACATGCTCCCCATGCGGATGGCTCCCCAGTTTTGTGGCCGATCACGCGAAGTCCCAAAGGGTGAAGTGGGTGAAAAGGCTTCGGTTTGGACAAACCTCTTCGATTTCCAGCCGATTTCAAGGCCGTTTGGGGTTCTTTCGAGGACAAGCACAATCAAACACCATCAAAACCTGTGTCCGCAAGGGACGGCGCACGTGTCCTTTTTCCGTAGCAAATGGCCTCACATTTTACTAAGTAGATGGCCTCCACCCTAGTAGATGGCCTTCAACCTACTAGAATTTCTTTTGCGGTAAGCGACTTCACTCAGATGTGACCCAATGCAAAGCTGACGGCTATGGCGATCCTTGCGGCACAGTCCTTGGAGAAGAGAGGGAAAAGGCAAGATGTATTGGGCAATGGTGGGTTAGGTAGTCTATTCAACAACCAATTCAACGGTCAAGGAGTTGAAGTAGGTCAACTATGCCAGGAAGCAAGTTTGCTTCGAGCTCTACTGCTCGACGGATTCCCTGAATAAGTGTTCTAATCTAAAGCAAGCTTTGGGGCATCATGCCACTAACAGTCTCCAAAGGACCTATGCAGGGATTCTTGAAACTTCATCGTACAAAGCCGATTTGTCTACAACTGCCATCCAACCTACTAGCCTCCATAGCCATGGCCTCCAACCTAATAGCGATGGGCTCCAACCTAAGAGCGATGACCTCCAACCCAAAAACCAATATCGGTTGATGTCTCTAGACTAGACTGACCTACCTTTTTGCTTCCAGGTTTTGTCGGTTCTCAACGTCCCGAGGAACCCGTGCAGGAGATTGTCTTCCGGGATTCTCCCTCATCTCTGCACCCGCTTATCAGGCCATCACGAGGTTTCCGAAGTATCTAGGCTGTCGAAGGTCACTCAAAGCAGTTTTTTTTGACAAGCTGATCCAGGCGAAGCAATGGGCTTACCGGGCTTTGCAAGGAGAGGTTTGCCACCACTTGTGGTCTTAAGATGTTTTCGTATTAAGGCACAGTTAGTTGGCCTACTGTAGGGCCTAGGGAATCTAGTGACAAATGACAACACTGTTCAAAACAAGTCCCTGTACAAAGCCTTTGCTAACTTATTCATGGCTTTTGGCAAGTGTCACTGAGGACATACTGGAGATGTTGAAGAAGAGTCCATCTGGAGGCCCGAATGCTTCGGGCAGACGTTGATTGTTGATGCAGCGTTTCTTCATTTTGTGTACTATCTTTGGTCATTTCCAACTTCCCAGGTTCTTCCAGTTCGACAGGTGTGGACACTCAGTTCGACAGGATCGCGATGAAAGCATTGCGTTCACAACGACGGTTTGCCGCTTTGAGTGCGAGGTGAGCTTAAAGCAGAGGAGCTTGTGGCACCTGGGATATGTATTTCCGTCCTTTTTGGCCGACACGTGCAAAGGCAGCAAAGACTGCGAGACGCACAAGAGACTGCCAAGACACTGAGACACTGAGAGCAATGCAAAGCTCATCCAACCAAGATCCCCTCCATTTTCTAGAACTCCTCTAATCTACCGCCACTACTCATGCTGTCAGAAGGCGCTAGGTATTCACCTTTCGTATGCCAGACACGTCTGGCCCATGAAACGCTCAGGAACTGGGTGAACAAGCTTTGGATCTTGAAGAATTGGAGGTGATGGCGAGATCCTGTCGATCAAATGGGGTGGCAGAAGGTCCAGAGATCAATAGGTTCAATAGGCCTGTAAGAGCATGTTGAGGTGATGATCATGGGCATTGTTGAGAGGTGTTGTTGTGGTGATTTGTGATGTTTGGGTGTGGTGTTTGGACATTGTGGTGCATGGTGCTGTATGGTGGTTTGTGATGTCGTGAAGTTGCCGGGGGGGTGCATCGCGAGTCAAAGCTTGTAGCGTCCTTGCTCCGGTCCTAGCAGCGATGCCCTTTGTTCCTAGCAGCGTCCTTGCTCCTATAGAGATGTGTATATAGTAGTAACAAGAAGCTACTAGTAACAAGTGCCACGCTAGTAGTAACAAGTGCCTTACTAGTAGTAACAAGAAGCTTGTAGTAACAAGTGCCTTAAGAGTAGAGCATTGAATGACCCAAGGCCGACACATGCTTTGAGCCCCCCGCTGTCAACAAAATCAAAGCCAGTTCGTTTTCCCCACCACATGTGCAATGGGGGCCATGTATTGCGAAACAGCACACTCTTCAGCTGCCTGATGACTGTCCGGTAAAGTTTCCATGGCTTTGTCCTCAAGGCTGACACCACGGCTCGCTATTTGCTTTGGTTGGGAATACATCCCGAAGAAGGGAAAGCCCGGGGAAGATATAGAATCTGAATATATTTATTTGATTAGAGGAATTAGACATAGTAAGCTACTAGGAACAAGTGCATCGCTACTCGGAACAAAGGGCCTTACTACTAGGAACAAGAAGCTACTAGAAACAAGAATAATGCTTTCTGATTACTATTCTAATTCTAATTCTTGTTAATTCTTGTTCCTAGTAGCTTCTTGTTACTACTGGTAAGGCACTTGTTACTAGAAGCGATGCACTTGTTCCTAGTAGCTTATTGGTTCTTAGGAGTGTATCAGACAAATGCTTTTTTTGACCGATGAGTAGAGATTGAAAAGGAGCATTACAATAATGCCGAGCGAACTGCAAGCGCTCCTGGAATGGGTCATTTGTTTCGTGAAGCGCGCCCGGAAAATCCAATGGAATAGAAACAATGATGCCCTTTGCTCCTAGTAGCGTCCTTGCTCCTAGTAGTAAGGCCAGGAGCCCCTAGTAGCATCCTTGTTACTAGTTTGGCGGCTTTGCGCAATGAGGTTTAATTACGCGCAGTGTTTTGGGCTTCTCCCGAGTGGGTACAACATGAGAGACCATCATATGTTGGGGCGCTGACACTTTTCAGTCTTACCCTTCTTTCTCGCGCGGCGAAGACAGGAGCACACGGTCCCAAGCCAAAGAGAACGATGTAGACATTCTGTAGACATTATGTAGTAACAAGAAGCTTGTAGTAACAAGTGCCACGCTACTAGGAACAAGTGCCTTACTAGTAGTAACAAGAAGCTTGTAGTAACAAGTGC